GTCGTGTTTTGTTGTTGTTTTTTTTTCAGACAAAGCCTTACTCTATAGGCTAGTATCTCCTCAAATTCTCAGTGATCTTCTGCCTCAGCTTCCAAGTGTTGAGATTATCGGCATGAGCACCTGGTTTGAATTTTTTAAAAAGACTGAATTAAGAAGTCGGTGATGGCACAGAAGTTAAGAGCACCGGCTGTTCTTTCAGGGGGAACTTCCTTGTCAAGTGGCTCACAACCATCTGTAACTTCAACTCTAGGAATCTCTCTTCTAACCTTTATGAACACATACACACACACACACACACACACACACACACACACCACATGCACGTGCGTGCTCATGCTTTAAAAAAAAAAACTGAGCTAGTTTATCCTACTTGTGTTCTGAGATTAAAGAGTAGGAAATTTAATTTATATAAAGGGGAAGGAATAAGTGAAGGAGCAAACCTCCTGATGTAGCAAAAAAAATGAGTGAAATGCAGGATCCAGTGAAAGGACAGCCTTGGCTTACAAGGAATCTTTGCCCCATCTCAAACAGAAAGGAAGGGAGAGAATGACTCTTTGGATGTAAGCACAAAATTGAAGCAGCTCCCCTCCTGACCTTTATTTTCTTTGTTGTGCAGCAGAATAGGGGTAGGTGGGGAAAGCTGGTAGGTAGAATGACAGCTGGATCTACAAAAGATTCTATTAAAAGTCTGTGAATAACAGGGGCTGTAGCTCATTTGCTAGAGTACTTGTCTAGTATGCACAGAGCCTTTGGGTTTGGTCCCTAGCACTGCATAAAGCAGGTGTGATGACACATGCCTGTAATCCCAGAACTCAGTGGAGGCAGGAAGATCAGAAGTTCTTGGGCTATGTTGGGAGTTCAAGGCCAGCTGGGGCTACATGAAACCCTATCTTAAAAGAGGGGGTGGCTGTGAATTTTTTGTAAGTGTATTTTATATAAGTTAAGTAAGCATAAGCAATTTAGATGGAGTGACTTGTAGACATCTCCCTTCAGGTCAGAGTTCAGGGGTTTTCAGAAAGGGCTGGGAAGCTGCCTGGAACTCGAGAAGTCTCCTCATTTCTCTACCTCTCTTCCTTCATTCTCTTTGGCAGTTTGTCTTTCTCCATTTTCATCCCCCAGAATAGATCAAATGATGTCTAATTAGAATCTTAATCTCCAAGTCCTAATCTCATAATCCCAAACAGAACACTTTATTTAACCCAGCAGTGTTGTGGGATCTTATTTTAACTGGGCAAAAATGTGTTACATTTGTTTATGCTGCAGAATATTACTTTAACTGTATAAAGGTGTGTTACATTTATTTATGTTGTATTTGTATAATGATGTCAGGATGTGTGTTTAATTATGTAAAGGTAAGGTACCTGATTGGTCTAATAGAGAGCTGAAGGGTCAATAGTTAGGCAGAAGAGGAATAGGTGAGGCTGGCAGGCAGAGAGAATAAACAGGAGGAGAAATCTAGGTTCAAATAAAGGGGAATGACAGAAGAAGGAGGAGGAGAGAAAGAGGGAGACACCCAGGGCCAGAAGTCAGAGACGGCAAGAAAGTAAGAAAGGTAAAAAGCCTGGAAGCAAAAGGTAGATAAGGAGAAATTAAATTTAACTTAAATTAAATTAAAGTTAAAAGAGCTAGCCAGAAATGTGCCTAAGCTAGGCTGAGCATTCAAAACTAGTAAGTCTCTGTGTCATGATTTAAGAGCCGGTTGGTGGCCCAAAAGAAAAAACCTGGTACACAGCTTGGATTAGGAATCCACTTACAGTTCAATTAATCACAATTTATGTACCAGACATCTCAGGAAACATGTTGGGAGCCTATGGATCATGGGAACAGCTATGGAAAACACAATTCCCAAAGAGTGGGCTCAGGAGCTGGACTAACCAAAAGCGATGTCTACCCACAAACTCAAGTCTGAGAACTGGGTGATTTCCTTCACCCCATATTAGCCACTTTTCTTGATGCTATGATAAAATACCCGACAGGAACAACCTATGGAAGAAAAGGTTTATGTTTGGCTCATGATTCCAGAGAAATTTCAGCCCATTGTGACTGAGAAGGCATGGTGCTGGAGGGAGGCCCAAGGGGGAATGTCTGGGATCTCAAGCGAGGGACTAATGGCCCTCCTCACTCCCTCTTTCTATGAAGGGACATCAACAGACCCAGTCTTGTGAGGGTCATTTGTGGTAACCACTGCTTCTCTGATTAATGGTAACGGCTATTAGGGTCAGAGGAGAGTGTCCCACAACACATATTAACAAAACTGTGATTATGGTGACTGATTTGTTGCTGGGGAGATGACTCCATCAGTAAAAGATTGCCTTGAAAGCATGAAGCTTCAATTTCAGTGTCCACATAAAAATCGAGGTGCAGTTGTACCATCTGTAATCCCAGCACTGAGGAGGCAGAGACGGGAGAATCCCTGGGGCTCACTGGCCAAACAGTCTATCCAACTGAGGAGCTTCACTTCAATGAGACTCTGTCTCAAAACATAAGGTAGAGTGCATGTATGCGAACACACATGTATGCATGCACGCACATGCACACGCAGGGGGAGGGCAACTGACAAGGATATGTGTGCAGAAGAAGATGAACAAAGCCAGGAAGGTCATAATAATCTATAAAATGGTTGATATTCACTGTGAGTATGTGAGCATGGGAGGGAATTTGTATTAAGCAAATTTCTAATTTGCTTAAATTAGAAATAAAAGAAGAGGCGCAAGATGAGACATGAAGACTATTAGACATATTAACCAGTTTGTTATAGGCCGGGCAGAGTAAAGAGACTAAGAGAGAAGAGGAACAGGGTTAATGGCTGATTGCCATAGCTGGTCCCCATAGAGAGAGAGGCAGAGAGAAGAGACAGAGGGGCAGAGAGAGCATAGGTGGGAGAAGAGAGCACGAAAGTGGGCAGGGGGTCTGTCTTTTAAATGGGTCTTTTGCACCTGTGTGGAGACTTAGTTCCCATGGAACCCTGGGCTGACCAGGGTACTGCCTGAGTGGATTATGCCAGATAACAGAGGCAGGCCAGCACAGTCCCTGAAACTTTTAGAAGGGGTTAGATAGAAGGAATCCTGGGAGGTTGTGGGATTCTGGAGTTTAACATTTTATTTGTGAAACAAAGCCCTTGTGTTTTCTTAAAAACGCTATGTTGAGCACATTCCCCAGTGGATGGCTCTCAGGAGGCTGTTACCCTTGGTCATGAGTAGGCAAACCCCTTCTGAACTACTATGAAAGTTTGCACTCTAAGACTGAAGTATAGTCCTTTTTTTTTTTCAGTTATTACAATGTAACAAATATCGAAGCTTGTTAGCAGTCAGCTACCTGGGAGCCTTTTGCTATATCCAGATGGTATTCATGAGTAGGCAGGAGAAAATATAGAACCTAGGGAAAAATCCCAAGTGTTCAAACCAAGCTTTGATGTCACATAAAGTTTTATTTTATATGAATGAGGGTTTTTCTGCATGTTTGTGTATGAACCACATTGGTTCCCAGTGCCCTTAGTGGCCAAAAGAGTGTGTCAGATCCCCTGGAACTGGAGTTACAGATTTTGGTGAGCTGCCATGGGAGTGCTAGGAACCAAACCCAGGTCCTCAGCAAGTGCAATCACAGCTCTTAACTCCTGAGCCATCTTTTCCACCCACACTAAAATTTTATTTAGCTAATTTTTGATATGCTATTATACATCCCAGGCTGGCCTTGAATTTGCTATGCAGCTGAGTGTAACTTTTAATTTTTCTGCCTCAACTTCCTGAATGCTGAGATTACAGGCCTGCGGTATTACACAGGATTTACACAGGTGTGCATAAACCAAGGGGCTTTGTGAATGCTAGACAAGCACTCTAAGTGAGCTATGTCCCCAGCCCCACAACAGTGTTTGTCCCGAAGGCCAGGCAGATTCCAGCACACTGAAGCAAGTGTGCACCGGGCTGAGTCAGATTTAAGAAACTTAATTTTTGATTCCTTTTTTGCCTGGCTTCAACCTGCACCAAGGGGACACCTCAGTACCTCTATACAGACAATCTAGATTGCTTTTCTTCCGCAGTCCTCCCCACCACACGAGGCGACAAAGAAAAACAGTATTTTTTGGCGAACACGAGCGCCACTTTCTCATTCACCCTCAGGGACTCAGGGAAGAGGCGCCACCCACTCGCTCCCTCACGCCTTCAGCTATCGATCACTGCGCACGCGCGCTCAGGCCGGCATCCTGGGACGGGGACACGCCCAGGTACAGCTTGCACTGCGGTTGGTCCGAAGCAAGACACGTGACAGTAGTGTCCTCTCCGGAGCATGCGTAGAGTAGCGCAGCGTGCCCGAGACGGCACGCTGAGGCGTGGGGTGCG